CTCACACAAGCACACTAATAGACTACCCCCCCCCCCCCCCACACACACACACTTAAACTCGGCATTGCCCTCTCAATGCCGTAAGAAAGGGGTAGAGTGATGTTACCACTTGGGCTTGGTGAGTGAATGTAAGAATTGAACCGGGGTAGGATAATTGAAGCTTCAAGGAGAGACAACAAAAAAAACACACACATACAAGCACAATACGACTCGCTCGAGGCGAGGTTATTACAAGCACAATAAATAACCAAAACAAAAATAAAACAAGTTTAGGGTTACAAGTAGAGAAGTGGGGCGAATGGACTCCGCTTGGCCACATGTCGCTCTCGTTGGCTACCTCTCTCTAGTGGATGGTCCCTCTCCAGACTCGGGTAGGAGAGCCTGGTGTCGAGCCATGATCTCGAGGATGTCGGACTGTCGCTCGAGGCGAGATGAGAATCCCAAGAAGCACGTCTCAGGGCGATCCACCCTCTCGATGAGGGGATCGCCTGCTCCTGGTGGTTGTGTCTGCTGTGCAGGGCACAGGAGCGCTGGACGGCGGCGGCGAACGGGTGCACGAGCAGGCAGTTGCTCTGCTGCTGGAGGGACCTTGGGGTCTGGCTCCACTAGAGCTGGTGCTACTGCGGCTCGGATGACTCCGGAGGGTCAGAGTCCATCGAGGTACTTCACTCCTCTCTCTCCCTGGAGTACCAGCTTCTGATTGTAGAAAGTCTCCACTGGGAAGGGCTCCATCCTCCCTACGCTAGTGCAGTGAGCCAGATCCACCTGGAAATGTCGGGCTATCCTCGTGATGATGACCCCATATGCATCGTGTCAACTCTGTTCCGCCCCAGGCACCGGGCGAAAGAGGTGGCAATCAACTATCCTAGATGGATCGGCTCAGCTGGACTCCTCATCGAGTCGAGGGCAATGAGCCCTCTGTTTGTCATCAAGTGGCCCGACTGGAGGCTGGGGACGACGGATCTAGTGAGCAGAGTATGAAGAATCTTCCACTGGGTCTTCAGCTTGATGGCCTTGGTCTTGCTCCCCTCGAACTCACTCTGGGCGGCAGAGGGCTCTAAATGCGCCCTGATAGTTGAAGTCGACCGTGTACTGCCACTCTGTCATCGTCATGTGAGCGGTGTTGAGCCCCATGGCCTGAGTGAAGCCATCATAGGTCAGCACCCGCGGTTGACCGCCCAGTATGAACTCCACCCGGGGCTGGCTCTTCTTGCTGACCGGGACGATGTGGGAGAAGGTGGAGTATAACTCCACACACAGCTCATAAAAGATCTCCTCGTCCATGGTCAAGAGCTGGCGCAACTGGGGGTGGGAGAGTACCCCAGTCATGGCGGCTCGACACCTGAACATGTTAAACATGTCCAGTTCCGGCAGCTAGTGAGGCCCGATCGGGCTGTCACTCTGATAGGCGAACTTGTTGCCAAACTCAGGGTAGTTCACCAGGTAACCGATGAACTCGTGCTCCAAGTTAAGCATCCTTCACACAGAACAAACACACACCATACGTGGAAACATCCGTCATATACCGCTCATTGGGAGGAAAAGAGATTCCCCCCCACACTTGTTTTTCCACCATGGCTAAAACATTTAAGCTCAAACCACCGTGGTATGGTTGTGGGTATTTCACGGTTCAAGCACACAAAAATTAGAACCACAACCCCTACCACTGTGGCTACCATCCACCAATCAAGAACAAACTCCACTTGCATTCATAACATAGCACTTGGTGGGCAAATTCTAAAAATAATCACAATTTGGTTCGAACACGCCCACCAAGGCTCACTAAGCTCATGCAATAATCAATCCATCAATCACACGACCTAATTCACCTAAGTTCTCGCCCTAACTAGATTAAATCATGCCAAGCACAGAAATTCAACCTCACTTCTCTACCTAATCCGATTCTCCACAATTCACAAAGGTAAAGGTGAAAAACAAACCTGGAGACTCAAGTAGGACGAGGGAGGAAGTGAGGTGCGGGCGAGGACGGTGAAAAACTGGTCTGAAACTGACAAGAGAGGGGTCGCCGGAGCTTCGTCAGAAGCTCGCCGGAGACTCACCGCGGTGAATTGGTCGAAAAAAATGTGGTCCAAATCTCCCCAAATTCACAGCACATGCTGATTTTGAGGAGAGGGGACTAGGTATGACGTTGGATTTTTGGTTTTGCTCGGCGGATTTGGGGGGAAAATCGGAAAAGCGACGGAATTTGGCGTTTTCCGGCGAATATTCAAAATTTTCTGGCGAGTTTTTAGTCGTGAAGTGATGGGTCGCCGTTCACGCCCCTTTTATAGGTAGAGCTATGAGTTCACGGACGCGTTGCCCAGTTCACGGTCTTAGCGACCGCGAACTCATGAATGCGTCCGTGAACACGGAGTGGTTGACAGGTGGTGAACATGCATCAGCCCCCAGTTCACAGACGCGTTTGCCTGTTCACGGTCATAGTGACCGTGAACTTAGCAATCCGTCCGTGAACTAAAGTGAAATCAGGGCACTTCTGCAAAAAATTTGACTCAACCTATTTCTACGTGCCTCTTAATTGATCACAACACAACCACAAACCACAAAACACAACACTCGGCACGGGGACACCACTTCACCACTCAAACCCTTCACAAGACACTAAAACGAAAACTAAGGAAAAGAAAACAAACCTCCGTTGGGTTGCCTCCCAACAAGCGCTTGTTTATCGTCATTAGCTTGACGGTTGGGGATCAATCACGACTTCAAACGTGATGCCAAGCAGATCCACCACACTCTCGGGCCGAGGCTTGTAACCTCCCATCTTAGGCTTATTGAGTTGGCCCTCTTGGTTGGCCAACCTTGCTCCGGGCTCCCCCGTCTTCCGAGTCAAAGCTCCCTTCATCCTTCTCCTCCAAGCATTCAATCTCGGTCCTTTTGGCTTAGGACCCTTCTTAACTTCCTGGTCAACATCATCAAAAACAACACAAGTAATGGAGGGGTTTGCCTTAGGAGGCTCTCCCCCACTCTCATTCACATTGTTTGAGGCTACCCCCTTCACTTCATCGCTCCTCACCCTAGGTTCAATTTCAAGCTTGATTCTCTCCTTACCATCCCTCAAAATTAGGGTTCCCTCATTAACATCTATCAATGCCTTGGCAGTTGCAAGAAAGGGACGACCGAGGATGAGGGGCATATCCGAGTCCTCACTTATGTCGAGAATCATGAAATCGGTCGGATAGCTAAACTTGCCCACTGTCACCATCATGTCCTCCACTATACCTCTAGAGCTAATGACCGAACAGTCGGCTAAGGTGATGCTAAACTTAGAGGTCTTAAGTTCACCTACTTCTAACTTTTTGAAAAGCTTGTAGGCATCACATTCACACTAGCTCCTAGGTCCGCCAAGGCATTGTCTATATGGTGATCACCAATATCAAGAGGGATAGTAAAGCTACCTGGGTCGGACCTCTTTTTGGGCAAGCGGTCGAGGAGGAAAGCCGAGCACTCCTTGCCAAGCGTCGCGTTGGCAAAGCCTTCAAGCATTGGCTTCTTGATGAGGAATCCTTTGAGGTACTTGGCATATCTTAGCATTTGTGTCATGGCTTCGAGGAATGGGACGTTGAGGTGGAGGTTGCGTAGCATTTCCATGAACCCTCCACACTCGTTGTCCAACCTCTCCTTGTACATCCTTGTGGGATAAGGAAGAGGTGGCACATATCCATCCTACGACAATTCCTTGCTTGCCGCCTTCCTCTCATTCCTCGAGGGATTCTTCTCTCTTCTTTTCGGGGTGGTCTCTTCCTTCTCTATTTCTTCTCCCATATCGACCTCCTGAACCACCTACACACTCCTCACTTGAAGTGCATTCACCCCGGCTTGATCCTTGGGGTTCACCACGGTTTGGGAAGGTAAAGCTCCCTCAGGTCTCTCGGTGAGGATACCGACAAGGTTGCCGATTTGCACCTCCAAACTTTGAAGGCTCGCTTGATGGCTTCGGAGACCTGCCTCAACCGAGGTAAACTTTGTAGTCGCCATATCCATAAATTGCTCAATCTTCTAGAACTTTTGGCTACTCGTACTCACATAGGTGTTCACTAGGTCCCTAAGCTTGGATAACTTGTCGGGTTGATGTTGTTGTTAAAAACCTAGGGCACCTTGTGGTTGGTACGGTTGTTGAAAGTTTGAGCCTTGGAGTTGGGGCCTTTGTTGGATGAAGGTTGGTCGAGGTTGGAAGTTTCCCGTGGGGGCTTGGAAACCCGGGGGCCTTGGATTCGCCGGTGATGCCCAAGCAAAGTTGGGGTGGTTCCTCCATCCGGGGTTATAAGTATTGCTATACGGGTTGTTGACCCTAGCATTTACCCAAGTGAGAGAAGGTTCTACTCCATAGAGAGAGAGAGAGAGAGAGAGAGAGAGAGAGGAAAACAGAAATCAGAGTAGTCATACTCATAAAGATGAGGATAATCTACTCTGGAATGTCGATCTTCACTCCTGGGGATGCAATCTGGGCTTCAATGGTGAGAAATCCACTCCAAATAGCTCCTAGGATTTGTTATTCACACTTTCTCTCTCTAAAGCTCTGTGTTTTACTCAAAAACTCGATCCCCGTCCAAAAGACCCGAAATTGGGTTAAAACCCAGAATTTTTCGACCATACAGTCGTGTAGAAATCCTAGCTGCTTGTGTGGAGGTGAAAACGCCGCGTTTCACTTAAGTGGTTTCATGCACATCACACGCCCTGAACTGCACGGCCGTGTGAAATGTGAAATCTCAGTCGAGGCAAGCACTAAATGTGAAATCTCAGTCGAGGCAAGCACTATCAAATGCAAGGTGTCTATCACAGTATAAATTTCGGGGACGAAATTTTTTATAAGGGTGGAGGAAATGTAACATCCCGAATTTAGGAGTTGGGTTCGTCCAATAATCGATTCGGTTCGTGGTTGAGTAAGCTAGTACTCATTATAAGTTGGGAGTTTTGTTTTAATTAATTTCTATTTATTACACCTAAATTAATAGATTTTAATTAAAAAAAAGATCTCTAGCTTAGTCGCCAATCTGGGTACAATCCCCGCCAAGTAACCAACGCAAACATCTCCTCCAAACCCTAACCCAGCAACAACAATCATCACGCAGCATCACCTCCGCGAGCCTCTCCTCTCCGCGGCCGGACCAGACGCACCAGCCAGTAGCAGCCAGCCAACCCTGCACCGCCCCTGTCTTGTCATCTGCCGGCCCTTGAGACCGTCGAGACTTGCGGCGGCGACTCCTTCTATGGCGGCGGAGACGAACCATTGTTTGATCCCTCTCGCTCTTCTCGTTCCTCATCACGCAGTCCACCTCCTACGATTTATCTCCCTTTTCTCGTTCCTTCTCTGGCGGTGACAACGGCAAGGATACAGAGAAGGGATTTTCTGGTTCGGGAAGAGATCAGCGACGGTGATGAGTTCCGCTCGAAGATTGCAGAGGACAAGCGCTCTGCTGCTTCCAAGTCGCAATAGTCGGGGAAGAAATCAGATTGAATGAACATCAAGATTTCCCCCTTTTCTCTGATTGAGCATGCGATTTCTCCTTCTCTGCTTTCAACCCGATGGTGGAACTGATTTGAGAAGGACTTGTTTTCTTCTCTTAATAAGGTTTTTGTCAGGCAAAAGCGGCGCCATCATCTTCTCGTTCCTTCCCTTGGACTATTAGGGGTTTAAATATTTGAGGCCCCTGCTAATTGAAACAGAAAGCAGCAAATGGGTTAATCTTTGGGGACTTTCAGTATTCAGAAGGCAGAGGAAAAGTGATGATATAGACGAGCAGTTCCGACAACGATCCCGGCGTAGGCGACTTCCAATTTTCTTTAAGTAGTGGTTATCATCGCGAAGAGGACGATCCCAGGAGCGTCACGGTCTTGACGAAATTGAGTTTTGACATCGGACGAGGGAGAAACGAGCATCGAAAGGTTGGACTGAAAGTCGGACAAATTCAGGTACTAGTTGTGACAATTCGAAAATTTTAGGGACCACAATCGTAATTTTCCTTAGAAGTCCGAGTCAACTATGTTGACTGGAAAAATTGCAATTCCTAACTGGAACTTTTAAGTTGATAGAATATTTATTTTGGTCATAACTCGATCAATTGACGTCCGAACAAGGAATCGTTAGCGCCTATGAAATCGTGAGAACGAGGAGAATTTAATACGAGCAAGTATGGAGATTTTGGAGCAGATTCAGAGTTAGTTTCGACGGATTAGAGCAGAATCATGAATCGTTACGACTTCCCTAACTAAGTTTAAGTTTAAGGAAAGCCTGGATGGCTTCTCATACGTATGAGTTGGCAACCGGACTAGCTAGTGAGGGATCCACGTGTCAGTCAAGCATTTAAGTCAATATTTAAGCTTTAAGAGTGGAGAGTAACAGTTACTCCCATACAGTTTTAAGAGTTAAGATTTTTAAGAATGGAAGTACAAACAACTCCCCTCAGTTTGAGTTTAAGTGTTTGAGAAGAAGTGCAATATTATTAGAAAGTTTAAAACGTAAGGGTGTAGACTGACCCCATCTCACTCACCAGGACATACTAAGGAATAAGCGAGAACTAGATCGATAGTTGCAGCTAGAGGAGCAGTTAGTGAGCAGCGATGTAACACCCTACCCTATACGTTTTGCCTAATCATATTGTTCATACAATTGCAGCGGAATTAATCTCATGTGTTACATTAATTATCAAAATTTACCCAAATAAAATTTCGACATGAATTACTCCCGTAATGGGCTAACAGTTCTTTCAATTTGTCCTGCAAAATAATTCATCACAAACATATATACTCACAACCATATGCATTGGCTTTTCTTAGCCATAGTCACACTTTCATACTACACAACTGCCTACCAAACTTATACATATCATAATCGTCACAACTTACACAGTTACACAACATATACACATATCATCAACTTTCCACACCTGTGGATATCTCACACTACATCATAAGCTAGTATGCACATGAAAAACGTTCTCAAAACATTCTTTTACAAAAAGGTGTGGATCACTGGCCAAAATCCCGAGTAGTAGTCCAAACACAGAATGGTTGAAGACTATACCTCATCTTGCCTTCAACTCTTGCTCATAGCTGAGTGAGATAATCATAGCATCGTGAGTTCATAACAGAGCATACCCCTATCATACATCTAACAATCAAGCCAAAACACTAGGATCGGAGCTCAGCCATCCTCATATCCCAATAAGCAAAAGACTCAACCACTTTGACTTATGCATATGCATCTTATCATGTTTTAATCATAGGCGCCTGGCTACTCCCATGCTAATAACTCTCCCGGGAAACATACCCCACATCCCGTCGGATGTAGTCATACATACCCCAACATCCCGTCGAATGTGGTCATACATACCCCACACCACTATGGGTGTAGTCATACCCCGACACCACTCTGGGTGTGGTCATATCTCGTAAGAATTCTTCAGTCACCACCACATGAGAGGTGTGACTATCATACATATCATAATAGAGTAATAGCATAGGGAGCCCTAATTACTATGTAGTTGACCGTGAGACCACAACAGTCATATTTGGTATCCTTATACATGATTCATATCTCATCTTGCTTAATCACAATTCGTTACTTGCACATGTACTTGGCCTGGCCATAATTGGCTCAACATAGGTAAATCAGGAGTCGTATAATTGCACTTCCTCGGGATAAACCCTCGTGCAAGTCATCTTCCTTAAAACATCATAATATCACCTTGGGAAGTTTATTCCCCCACTTATGGATCCAAATACAACCATAATATCACACCATGTCAAAACCCCTTATCGAACAACCATGAAGTCATATCAACAGTTAAGCCACAAATGGCCACAAAACCTCTTATCGAACAACCATGAAGTCATATCAATAATATCATACAGCAATCCAGGGTTCAACATATAGCACAAAAGTTCATACACCCCTAATCATGCCATTATAGTTCACCTAGATCAATTATAAGCATCAATATAATTATCGTGATACGACAAACCCGGTATGCCGTGCTAATCCCTCACCAGTTCTGGTCGTTCAAACACCGGTTTAACCTTCCCGTACTAAAACGTCAATTTCACGAACGAACCCCGAATTAAATTCCGAGACCGTCCTAATATCCCCTGCAGTATCCCCGTCAATATTAGTTCTGGGCTCCGTGTCAAATTCTCGATAAAAACACATCAAACCCTGGCCGGAGCTAAATTCAGCGGTTTGGACCCAGGCCTAAATAATTGCTGAAATTCAGGGATTAGAACTAGAGGATTGATTACCTCGCTGCAGGAAGCTCGTATATGAAATTTGGGCTCAATCCGGCTTCCGGATACTCCGAAACCCTAATTTGGCTTATCGGGAATTCAAGAAATTCCTGAACCAAAAACTCGTTTTAAAGCTCTAAATCGATAAATCACGATGCATAGATGAATTAGGCATTACTTACGGGATTTTTGGATTAGTAGAACTCAAGATTTGAGCTCTGAAATTTTACCCTCGTTGCTCCCCTGAAGTTCTGCTTCTCTCGGTCCGTAAAAGAAGAAGAAGAATTGGGATGGGAATGGGAAATGGACGGGGGAAAGTTAATTTATATGTCCGGCCGCTTAATATATATATATATAATTAATACGTATACTTATCCGATCGATCGATAATCCGATTTTCGCCGAAATACTATCAAAATACTCGATTTTAAATCGCGAACTTTCTAGCGATCGAAATATGGGTTTTGCCAGAACGGGACGTTACAATTCTCCCCTCCTTAAAAGATTTCGTCCCCGAAATCTAACATTGAGTTGTACCCTTAGTCCGTTTACTCACCCTTGACATGGTCTATCGTAGATAAACTATTACCTAACTCTTAGGTTAGGTGATTCATAACATAGTAGGTAACACATAACACCTCAAGTTCCCATGTTTAGGTTTCAAAAACCTATACCTATCACCACAAAAGCACATCAACAAGCTGAAAACATAACTTACTAAGCAAGATTGTTAACCTGCAAAGTAGGTTGCTACTAACTCAGGGTACTTCTCTCGCATACTTGCTTCAGTTTCCCAGGTAGCACTCTCACTTTCTTGATTCCTCCACACAACCTTCAACATTGGAATTTCCTTCCTACGAAGAGTTTTAACCTGATGGTCAACAATCTGAACTGGAACCTCCTCAAAAGTCAAATCTGGACCCAACTCGATCTCCTCTGGTTGTATAACATGGGAAGGATCCACTTTGTACCTCTTCGGCATACTAACATGAAATACATTATGGATTTGGGATAGTTCGAGAGGCAATGCTAACTTATAAGCCACTGGTCCAATCTTCTCTGTGATTTCATATGGTCCAATATACCGAGGTGCAAGTTTCCCTTTCTTACCAAATCTCATCACCCCTTTCCATGGTGACACTTTGAGAAATACTTTCTCACCCACTTCGAAATTAACTTCACGCCTATTCGTGTCAACATAAACTTTCTGTCGATCTTGAGCCACCCTCAAACGCTCCCTGATTTCCTTGACCTTATCAACTGTGATCTGAACTATCTCTGGCCCTGAAATTTGCCTTGCTCCTTCTACATCCCAACATAATGGTGTTCTACATTTTCTCCCATAAAGTGCTTCATATTGTGGAACACCCAAACTACTATGGTACTGATTGCTGTAAGCAAACTCAATCAGGGGCAAATGGTCAATCCATGATTCCTCCCATTGCATTACACATGATCGAAGTAATTCCTCCAAGGTTAGGATGGTTCGTTCACTCTGCCCATCTGTTTGAGGATGATAAGCTGAAGTAAATTTTAATTTAGTTCCCAAGGCATCATGTAAACTTTGCCAAAACCGAGATGTGAAGCTCGGATCTCGATCAGAGACAATAGAAATTGGCACACCATGCAATCTGACGATCTCCTTAATATATAGTTGAGACAAAGTCTCCAGTGATGGTTTCCATCTAATGGGTAAAAAGTGACCGATTTGGTCAGTCGGTCCACAATAACCCATACTGCATCTTTTCCCCTTGATGATGGGAGACCATATACAAAATCCATTGTGATTCTTTCCCACTTCCATTCTGGAATTGGAAGTGGTTGCAGTTTTCCCACAGGAGCTTGATGTTCTGCCTTAACTTTCTGACATACTAGACATGTGAAAACATGTTCAGCCGCTTCCTTTTTCATCCCACGCCACCAAAAATATGGTTTGATCGTGTGATACATTTTACTTGCTCCTGGGTGCATAGCATAAGCAGAAGAATGAGCTTCATCTAGGATATCT